AAAAAAAAAAAAAAAAAAAAAAAAAAAAAAAAAAAAAAAAAAAAAAAAAAAAAAAAAAAAAAAAAAAATCTTCCCTGATTTTTTACTTCATTTTGTATTTCTTTTTCTCTTTCAGGAAGCCAGTGCCATTCCTTTTGCTGCACTGACTGCATGGCGGGCTCTAAAAAGTACTGCTAGAATCAAAGAGGGGTATGTTAACGTTGTTCTTCTCCAGTAAGGCACATATTTAAATTTTATTGATTTATGATATCCTTTTGACACATTTTCTAACATTAAATCTCCTTTGGTGGCAGGCAACGGGTATTAGTAATTGGCGGTGGAGGAGCTGTAGGTTATGCTGCTGTTCAGATATCAGTTGCTTCAGGCTGCCATGTTGCAACTACTTGTGGAAGTCAAAGTATAGATAAATTACTGGCAGCAGGTGCTGAGCAAGCAGTTGACTATACTACTGAGGTGATGATTCATACACTAGCCGATCTGGACCTCACCATTTTTATTTTACCTGACTCGACATTGTCATTGGATTGCAATGGATAGTTTTCATTTAGAAGCTGGGAGATTGAGTGATTTTTTTTACATGAATGTTTATAGGGCATTGAATTCACACTGAAGGGGAAATTTGATGCCGTTTTGGATACAATTGGTGTGCCAGATACGGAAAGAATTGGCATCCATCTTTTGAATAGAGGTGGACACTATATGACACTTCAGGTATAGAGCTATAAGCTAACCTGTATTTCGTGAAGTAATTGAAGTGTTCTTGAAATTCAGGCTTCTAATCGCCGTTTGTTTAGGGCGAGGCTGCATCATTGACCGATAGATATGGGCTAGTTCTCGGGCTTCCTATTGCTACAAGCATACTGTTGCAGAAACAGTTACAGTACAGATGCTCCCATGGAATTGGTAATAATCAAAAGTTTGTATATTTCTCCTAGTATATAATCTGCTTAAAGATATTATTAGAACTGTCCAGTTACATTTTTGACATGGTGTTCCCTCCTCCTGCTTGAATTTTCCCAGTAATATTCCATATTATAAACAACCCCTGGTTTCACGTGCATAAGTTTCCGCTTCTTTTCCCTCTTTAAAGCAAGTTTTTATAATAAAGTTTTTAAGCCCTTGTAGAAGTTGAATTGTCCTACTGTGATGTGCAATCCGTGTTGGACCTGGATTATGAATACCAGGACAATCTTATGAGGTTGGCATAGATTTACGGACCTTCGTTTGTTTTGGAAAATGTAACAACCCAAACCCACTGCTAGCAGATATTGTTCTCTTTGAACTTTCTCTTTTGGGCTTTTTCTCAATGTACTAAAATGGGTCTGGTAGGGAGAGGTTTCCACACCCTTATTAGGAATGCTTCGTTCCTCTCTCCAACCGATGTGAGATCTCACAATCCACTCCCTTTAGAGGCCCAACGTTCTTGCTAGCACAATCCCGGTGTTTGGCTCTAATACCATTTGTAACAGCCCAAAAACCACTAGCAGATATTGTCCTCTTTGGGCTTTCCTTTCTGGGCTTCTCCTCAAGGTTTTAAAATGCATCTGGTAGGGAGAGGTTTCCACACTCTTATAAGTAATGCTTCGTTGTCCTCTCCAACCGATAGTGGGATCTCATAGAAAAGGATTACTTTTTAGTTTTTCTTGACCAATGCATTGGTGGTAACAAGTAAGATGATTGCTGTGTTTCCCAGTCATGTTAAAAGCTTGCTTTGGAATGATATATGTGAGGTTGGAAAATATATATATCCATACAACATGAATGGAGCTTTTCCTTGGCTCCGATTCTCGAAAAGCAGAAGGTAGTTTAATATCCCTCCAATTTATCACCCTTCAAAGAGAAGCCATGTGGCATGCAGTGTGTAAGGGCTGGTAGAGTTGATTAGTAGGAGAGATTGGGAGGTCCCGAAATCTCCCCAAGTCTGGAACCTCTGTTGAATAGCAATTTCTACTTCGATCTGTATCATGTTCTCTAGTTCTTAGTTCCAATCCCTTTGACTAGGAAATATTTTATGGTTACAACATATGCTAGATGCACTTCAATCGCTTATCTGAAAGCTATATTTGTCTGTTTGTGCACATTTTTCAGTGCAAATATAGTTTTCTAAATTCAAATAGTGTCATCCAATGCCTCAAGGTGAATTCGAGCATCGAAATTAAAACAAATATATGGCTCCAATATTATGTTCCTGTTGTTTAATGAACTTTCATTTTGCTTCTGTTGTTTTAGAGTACTGGTGGACGTACATGAGAGCGGATTCTGAAGGTTTAGACGAGATCAGGAGGCTATGTGAAGCTGGAAAGCTAAAGATACCGGTTGAGAAAACATTTCCGATCACACAAGTAAGGGAGGCTCATGAGGCAAAGGATAAGAACACCATTCCAGGTAAAGTGGTGCTAGAACTTGATTGATGAAAACTCCTTCCAAACACTTCATGTATACTTGATTTGTTGGCTCAACTGCATTAAATCCTGTAAATAATTTCCTCAGCTTTTAGCATCGAAATTGCTTTGGAACTTTACAGGATGTGAAAATTTTAACCGCGCTGGAGATTTAGTTTGCAGCCTGTAAAAGTTTGAGAACGTATTTGACATAGACCTTTTTTTCTAGATTTCTCAATCATGAATAAGAAATTTCATTGTTACCTCTCCTATTGTTGCAATTCCTACATAATAATGGTTCTTCCTAGTACTGTTATGTTGTTTATGATGGTAGAGTTCCAATGGAATGCTAAGAAATAGCTGCATTGGAATAATAACAAAGGGAAAGTGTATAGCTACGCCATGTTGATGTTTGTTGAGTCTCTGTATTGAGAGAGGTCCGTTGAAGAGATTTTGTAACGATTGGAGAAGGAAATGAGTGCCAGCGAGGACGTTGGGCCTCGAAGGGGGTGGATTGTGAGATCCCACATCGGTTGGGGAGGAGAACGAAACACCCTCTATTAAGGGTGTGGAAACCTCTCCTTAATAGACGCGTTTTAAAAACCTTGAGGGAACACCCGAAAAAGACAATATCTGCTAGTAGTGGGTTTTTGGGGCATTACAAAAGTTTAGATGTTATATATGTTTGGAAGGGCGCTACTCCGAATCCCCATTTGAAATTGAGAAAAAGAGAAATAAAGAGAGATTTGTCTCTGCTAATTTAAATGGGGCTGGGACTAGAGATGAAGAATATTATGTCTCTGACCTCGATGCGGTCGATTTATATAAATGGAGAATTTAGTTAGGATGAGAATTGAAATATGTGGCGGGTACGAAGACGAGGCCTGAAAGTGATTCGTTAAGTCGGGTAGTGACCACCATGAGATCGATAATGAATAGGTTTAGGGGGCGAAGCCAATAGGTTCATACTTTTGTTGCATTGTTGACTTTGAAGCATTTATACAACTGCGGTCTGTTCGTCGAATAGTTGTCTAAGCCGGTCTCTCACCAACATCTCCACCGTGTGAACATCTCTAAACCTATTTGACAAAAGTACAAAAACATAAAAGTTTAGGAATTAAATGTATATTGTTGTATGAACGTATTAAATTTTTTTCCAACGGTACGAATAAGAAAATAATGGTGTAGAAAAATATTGATATGGATAAGGTTGTTTGCACAATGAGAGGAGGCCTCACATGGGAATGTGCTGTAATTAACCTGTCTTCTTGCCTTCTATGGCTGTAGGCCTTCAATGCTTCCTTTTATTTATTCTCCATTCTAGAGATTATATTATGAAATTTTTGCATCTAACAACAAAATATATATTATATATACATCAATAATAATTTTCATCATTCTCGAACACTGAAATTCGACGTGTCGTTGAAAATTAGATGCATTTTAATACCTACTTAAATCATTGGGTATAGAAAATCGTGAAGAAAACGTTTCATTATAATATGTTTCCGCTTGCTTAAACGAAAGAAGAAGATTGTTTAGAGATTTGTCGAGATCTCGTTCGAAAAATAATAGCATATTTAGAATAAATTTAAAAAAAAATATTTTTAACCAACAAAAAAATAAAAATAAAAAATGAGTTATAGACATAATATTTTTCTCGGTATTTTGTAAATTTTTTAAAATTAATTGATGGGTTGGGCAGATCCTTAGACACAAATTTATTAGAAACAAAATTAAAAAAAAATTTAATTAGTTCAAGAAATTATTCATAAATTTATTTAATATTTTTTAAAAAAATTTAGAGATCTATTTAATTTAATTTAATTTTTAACCAATAAAAAAATGGGTTATAGACATAATATTTTTCGAACTTGAAAAAAGAAAATCGAAAAAAAAATTCTAATAAACTCTAAATTGGTCTGTATTAATCTATTCGATATTTTCTAAATTTTTAAAAATTAATTGATTTATCGAACTTTTTTAAAGCTAAAAATTTATGTTGGGTAGATCGAATCTGGTAGACACATTTATTAGAAATAAAATAAAAAAAATTATTTAATATTTTTTAAAAAATTTGGAGATTTATTTAATTTAATTTTTAAGAATGAAGCCAAAATTTGAAACTAATTTTTATTTATTTATTTTTAGTATAATAATATGACAAACAAAAATATTCCATCCAACACAAAATACTGTTACAACGCACATATATAATATGTATTGTGGGTGGAGATCAAAAGACAGCGCATGTTACTCAAATCTCACATGGCTTCCTTCTCTGTTCATCCTAATCATATAATGGCGTTTTCAGAAGAAAGCTTGATGGCCACTCCATTTCCCAGGTACCCATTTCCTCAATCTCTCCCTTTCTTCCCTTTTTTATCATTTCCCCTTTTGGTCAAACTTTGCAGTGCCCACCATCCATGGACCCAATCAATGCCTCTCTTCAATCTTCTCCTTCAAGTGATGTGCCGCTCATTGATGAAGCTTTGGATCGTTTAGAGCTCTGTTGGTTCTTTGATAATCTCCTTACTTGGAGGAACCCCCGGATGTCTACCTCCCGTTCTGATCCTTGTCTTTCTAATGTTGCCCATCAGGTGTTTGATGAAAGTCCTGCTGCTAATCTCTGCTCATCTGATTTGGATGGGGATGTTTCGCTGCCTAATGGTGGTGGGGTGCGTCGGAATCTGCTTCGAACGCCGTCGTTACCGTCACGTATAGATCTAGGAGGGGAGGGAATTCGAGAGAAAGGAAGTGGTTCTAGACCATTGTTGGAGCATGATGTGCTTGTTGAAACTCCTGGTGATAATGTTTGCTCGTCTGCTTTGGATATGGATGTTTCGATTGGAAATGGTGGTGGTAAACATAGGAGTCTCCTTCGAACACCGTCGTTACAGTCCCGTGTGGACCGAGAGGAAGGAATTCGAGATAAAGGAAGTGGTTCTAGGCCATTATCAGAGCATGATGTTCTTGTAGCAACTCCTGCTGATAATGTTTGCTCATCTTCTTTGGATATGGATGTTTCGATCGGAAATGGTGGTTGTAAACATAGGAGTCTCCTTCGGACACCGTCGTTACCGTCCCGTGTGGACCGAGAGGAAGGAATTCAAGAGAAAGGAAGTGGTTCTAGGCCATTAGCAGAGCATGATGTTCTTGTAGAAAGTCCTGCTGATAATGTCTGCTTATCTGCTATGGATATCAATGTTTCGCCGGGATATGGTGGTGGTAAATGTCGGAGTCTACTCCGGATGCCTTCGTTACCGTCCCGTGTGGAACGAGAACAAGGTATTCGAGAGAAAGGGAATGATTCCAAGCCATTAATAGAACATGGGTTGCTGCAAAAACCAGCCAAACCACCATATGTAGAGAGGAAAGAAGAAGGAACTCGCAGCAAAGAAAGTGGTAGCACTCGAAAGAGCAAATCCGCAAGGAAACCACGGAATGGCAATCTGCTAAGAACGCCATCGTTGCCACCATTTATAGGCAGAGAAAAGGAATTTGGAGAGAAGGAAGCTGCTGCTAGAATCAGAAACTCCATTCAACCGAACCTTTCTGAATTCTTTCCCACAAGACAAGAGGTATTGCAAACATATTGTTCTGTTTCAACTCTCATATCGTTCTTCATGTGTTCTTGAATTATATTAGAACTTGCCCATAGTTAATATTTCATGTCATGAATATATTGAAAAGATCAAATTATCTTGAAGGACAGTATAACAGAGTATCATAGCAAGAAGTCTTGAATTCAAACATTTGTTCGTTTCTTGATGTGATTGTGAAAAGATTACCATTGATTTGATATAGCATAAAGGGTGGAATGAGTAGAATAAGCTTCATCTGTTCTTGTGGATACTTATGTGAAGATTCTACATACTGCCTTTAAAGGATTAGAATGAGTAGAATAAGCTTCATCTGTTCGTTTCTTCTTTTAGTAATACTTGGTGTTCTTAATCCCAGATTCTTGAAAAGAACTTCAGCCTCCCGATGTGTCGAATCCCGACAAACAGCGACAGAATGTGGCACCAATTTCTCATCCAAATGAGGAAAAGAAGAAGCCAAAGTGAGCTTGAATCAGAAGAATTGCAAGGGTTCAAGGACTTGGGATTCACATTTGACAAAAAGGATATAAACCCAACAGTGGTTGACATAATTCCAGGGTTGAGAGAGAAAAAAGAGGAGGAATTAGACAGTGAAAGAACAAGAAGACCTTATCTTTCTGAAGCTTGGATGCTCCAAAATCATCTCCTCCCTCCCATCCCAAAATGGGACAGTAGAAAATCTGCTGAAGACATGAAACAACAAATCAAGTTCTGGGCTAGAGCTGTTGCTTCCAATGTGCACTAAAAATGGTGAGTGAGGGCTTCTAAACAACAGCCCCCATTGTCTCTAAATATGCTGAATTTGCTGTGCAGCTTCCCAAAACTCAATGGAATTGGATCGGAGGGAGCTCAAATGAACCTCGGTCAGGTATTTTGTAAAAGTCCAAGCTCACCGCTCACCGTTAGCACCGTTGCAATGTTTGTAAAATTACAAACACGTGGGTTTATTTGAAGCTACAAAAAAGTTTGCTTCAAAATTGAGAAGGTTTTTGCATTGGAGATTGGGCTTTCTGATCCTCTGCTATTCCTCAAAAAGGAAAAAAAGTGACAATTTTGTACATGAGATGACTAGCAAATGAGAGGAGTTTATTTATTTTCTAAAATTTTATTTATTTTTTCATAAATTAATCGATCATATATATATTTTTTTAAATAATTTTTTTAATATTAGTTTCTTTTTTACTTAATAAAATTCTATTTTTACTATTTAACTTGGCTAAATTATTTATAGAAAAAACGTTACTACTTTTCTTTTTGTTCCAAAAATACCCTTATTTTAAAAAGAAAATTACAATATTACCCTTTATCTCTCGTAAATAATGGTTCTAGTAGATATTTTTTTAAATTTCAAAAATATGGTTGGATAAAATATATTGTTGGAACTTTTAAAATAATAAATAAATAAATATATATATATATAAAAACTTTTAGAAAGGTAGGATAGAGAGAAGAGTTGGAAAATCAAACATGCAGGGTAGCAAAGCAATCCAGCTAGGCTATATCTCCATATTCCTCTTTCGCTCCCTCCGCCGCCGTGCTAAGCCGGCCAAACAGCTGGTACCATTTACTACGTTTCTTTGAACTCTTCCGCTTACACCATTTTGAGTCTAGAAATGAATTGGGGTTTTGTTGTATTCTTTTTTTTTTTTTTTTTTTTTTTTT